GATAAATCTATATTCCAATTATTCGAATAGATGTTGTATCATTGAGTCGGAAACGAATATTAGAATTTTTAATATTCAGCTTTGAGCTTAATCGAGTTAAGTTATATTTACACTTTTGACCTTTATTTTATTATATTTACAAAATTGAGCTGGGTTTAGTCGAGCTCACGAGCTTAAGTGTATTTCTTATTACAATTTAATGTAATTTTTATTTTTTTTAATAACTAATTGAGTCGGTATCGAAAGTGTCGAGTACTTTATCAAGCTCGAGCATGAGCTTGAATGTAGGGCTCGAGTCAATGTCAAGCTCAAGTCTAGTTTCGAGCTCAATTTCCTATTTTGGTAGCAATAACATTTTTAAATCTCTAGTAAATTAAAGATTGATTGGTCCTGGTTGGCACATTGTCACAATTGTTGTTCAATTTTTAAAACTTTAACATGGTCCATTTCTATGGTTTTAAAAGCCATCACATTTTATCATGTTTGTTGTTATCTTTTAGAAACACACATATATAATGGTAGAAAGTAAACTAAGAATCTACACAGAAACATGCTTTACATGACATAGAAACCACACGATGAGCCAATCTTTCTAGATTGAATCATCATAATCATAAACTCCATTTTTATACTATACTTTTAGATAACTATATATTAAAAAACGCATACATAAGATGGATAAAAAAACATGATCAAGATTTGATGAAGCTAGAAATGTCAAACGTCTCAATAAACTTTTGATCAGAAACTCTTGACTTGTCACCAGCGAAGTGTTTGTACTCTTGATGAATAGCACTCATGCACCCATTTTTCAACTTTCTAAAGCACCCCACAACACAACCAGTTCGATGCTGAATCCCACAAATTAACCAAAAATATTAATCACTACCTTGAAAACTCTAGAGCTAAATGCAAGATAAAGCAATGTACTTTTCATTTCTTTATTTGTTTATTATAGCATCTTACTTTTATTTCTTTCAACAAGAGTATTATAACTATGTGAAAATTTTATATTTGGATGCCATTATTGTAACATGATGTTGTAATAAACATATAAAGAAAATTATATTTTTATTTGTGCATTTTTAAACTTAAATTTAGACATCAACACTAGATTATTGTTTGAAGATGAATTAAAGAAACCTTTCCACGTTTGCAATGGATGAGCACCGGACGGTTTTTTGGATCTGGATAAGATATATAGAGTGAGTGTCATGAAAATTCTCGAAGTAAATATGTTGACATTATGACTAATATAACATAAACGATTATAAACAAAAAGTACATAAATTCCCTTACCCATAAGAACCTTTAAAGCATCACGAATTTTTCCCTCTTGGATCTCCATTATAGGATTTTGATCCTATACATATATAAAGATACGAGTATAATTACAAAAAAGAATATAAAAAAAAAGGCAACACATTACACATTGGCAAATCTAAGAGTTTTTTACAATGTGTCATGCAATTAATGTACATATGTAACAAGTTGAGACATTGAAAAAATGTTACGTGTTTATTAACACAAACATAGGTTGAATTCATTGAAAGTAACAATTAAATTATTTCTACTAGGAGTTGCTTAATAATTTCAGTCAACATTCAACATGTTTGATGAATGATATAGAGTTTGGAATCATTCCAAACTCTAAATGGTCCATTTTTATCAAAGTTGTTGATCATAATTGTTGTTTTTATGATGTAAAATTGTATATTATTTTTATAATTTTATTCTTTTTTATATATTGGTGGTTTTGACAAACATTATCATATTTATGATCAAACGGTGCTAGTCGGTTACTATACGTTAGCAAAACGTGTTGTTTTGTGCCGATTTTCTTTGCGCGAAAAAGAAGACCACCGACTAATTCGCAGTGTTACGTCATTTTGTATATTGTAATTTGTAAAATGAATATATTGTTGTGAAGTAATGAAGTTATGTGGACAATGAGGGATGTAATTCTTGTTGATGCTATGATTTTTTTTTTTTTTGATAAACTCTAACAGGTAGCCTAACTTTCCCAAAAATTAAGTGAAGTTGATAATTTATAGAAACATCATTCTTGAAATGGAAACAAAATCAGAAGCCAGATGTTCAAATTAATTAAACAAACAAATGTAGTTCGATAACAATTTCGAATAATGCGCTTGAGATACTTACTTAAATTTGATTCATGATTGAATTCTTCAAGTAGAACCTTTGGTTGAAAAATTGATAAATTAAATGAATCATGATTAATGCAAATTGAGGTGATTATATCTGCAAATACCTTAGATTTCTGGATTCCGAATTGATGGAGCTGAATCGCATTTGCATTGAGAAACTCTAAATTCTCCTCAGGATAAGGTTCAGGGCATAGATATCTTCATAACACACAAAATCACCATGATTTCACATCCCCACAAAGAATTTTATCATAAAGCAAAACAATTAGCTCAAAAAATTTGTGAATTAGCTGAACATACATGATCGAGCGGAGTCCGAGAGTTTTCAAGAAGGATAAGTTAGTTGTATCTGGAAATCCTGACCGGAAGATTCCGTCGTCAACCACAGCAAAATTGAAAGGCGGAATGTACAGGCCATCGGAGCTATTTTCCAGCTTCCAGTCGATAGTCATCTTGTTTTCACCAGAGGATTCTCCATCAACTCCGATGACATTGAACACCACGGGTGGCGAGCTTTCAACTTTCATGGCGTTTCGCGCCAAAAGAGAGAGACAGTTGTAGTTTGTGTGTGTGAGTATGTGTTTGGTGTGGCATGTCAAGAAGAGAAAGACACCTCTATATATAGATGTTACCATGTAGATTGTAATATATTATTATTATTATTATTATTATTATTATTATTATTATTATTATTGACATAATGTAACCTCTTTTTATATTATTTTGAATCGTTTAAAAAGATTTTTTCTATGGTAGAAATACAAATTAGCATATGTTTGTACTTTGTATAACAATAATTAGGATTAGGGATTATTTTTTCAATAATAGCACCCTTAATGAAAGTCTTTTTAGATATTTTTTATTTATTCTAGGAGCTGATTTGTACAAAATATTTTTTTAATATGTAATATTTATGATTTAAAATATTAATTATATAATCTTATAAAGTGTATGAAAAATTTTATATGAATCACTTCCATTAATTTGTCATAATATTTCTATAGAGACCGTAATTTTTTAGTCAACTTTCTCAATTTTATTATTTATAGTATTTTATATTTTGTGTTTTATATCATTGATTTTTTATTTAATAATATTTTTACTTATTATTTATTAAAATTTAAACTTCAGAGTATATATATATATATATATATATATATATATATATATATATATATATATATATATCTTTTCAACAAATTAATTTAATTTATTTTAGTCGTTAATATCAAATATTAAATTCTTTACAATTATGTTATTTTTATCGCTCTTTATTTATAATTTTATATAATAGTTCATATTTTATATTTAAAAAAATACCCAATATAGTTTTCTTTTTAATACTTTTGCTTTGTGTGACAGCTTATGTGAAAAAGATGTCAATAAATGTTATTTTCAAAATAAAATAATAATAACATACACTTAAAAGTTAAAGTTAGAAGTAAGAACTTTAGTTTTGGTTAATAAAAGTTAAAAACTTAAAGTTAATTTAGTTGGATTGTTATGAAACCCAAGTTTGGCTAATTGAGTTTTGTAATGCATTTTTTTCCATGTGTTTGCTAACGATTCAATATAATTTTTTTTTTTTCAAAAAACATACAGGGAACTATATAAAACATTTTACAAAAATGATAATACATTTCTTAATTTAAAGAGAACTTTTAAAAAGGATTAGCCATTAAAAAAGCCACAAGCAAAAAGTAAAAAAAAAAAAAAAAAAAAAAAAAAAAAATTACATTTATTTTGTTTATTTTTTTCGGTGATTTCTGAATGACGAGTAAAACCACATCCAACACGGTGAAATCCACGCTCACCCAATAACAATAAAATAACTTTTTTTTTTTTTGGTGACATCATATTATGTGAGAATATATGAGAATATATTTACATCGTTCTTCTATTTTGTATCTTTTTTTATATGTTAATTCTTTTTAGTTAGGTTTGTGACATTGTCGATTTGTCGTTGTTATTTCTTATTTATAGTTTCTTTTTTAATTTTTGTAATCACATTTTTCATCAATGATAAAATTCTTTGGCTCTCAACTTTTAGGGCATAATAACACAATTATATCCATGTTTTTGAATTTGATGATTGAAGAAGCTTCACCGTTGGGTACCATAGCGGCGAATATGGAATATAATAACATCGAGTTCCCTAATTAAGTGATTCAATAACAAAAAAAAAAAATTCAACCATACTTTTGGCATTTTCGGTTGGATCGAACCAATAAAAACCAACCAATTTGAAAAATACAACTTCAAACAAACCGGTTGAACGGCTTAATATATATATATATATATATATATATATATATATATATATATATATATATATAGAGAGAGAGAGAGAGAGAGAGAGAGAGAGAGAGAGAAAGAAAGATAAGTTCATATATTTAAAGTAATTATTGTGTTATTATATGCATAAATGTGGACCAATAAAAATTTAATAAAAAAATTAAATAACTAAATAAATAAATCAGGGTAATTTAGTAATTTGTTTAGTAAGTTCTAAAAATAATCCCTATAATCATGGTATTAACTTATAACCTAAATAAATAAGCGTAACTTCAGTCTCCCATCCGATTAAACCCTAGCATCAACGCTTTCAGTGTTCGGAAAACCTCTTCATCTTCATTTGATCATGATAACGCAACCCTAACGAAATAGAAGAAGAATGGTGGCTTGGATTTGTAACCGGTCGGTAGCAGCAGTAGCAGCGACAGAGGCACCGTAGTAGCGACGACGGACGTCGGTGATCGACGGTGATCGACGTGCGGTGGGTTTCCTTCGACGGTGAGCGACGATGCGCTCTTCTCGGTTGACTGCTAGGTGTCAAGGAATGAAGATGAAAAGGGTCTGAAGAAGCGACAAAAACAGCAATAGCCGAAGCAACGAAGGTTCGTCGGTCGGCTTCGCAAGTCGATGTGGTCTCCGGGCTTTGTGGTCGATGGGAACAACAGAGAAGGAAGAAAACGAGGGGAAAAAGGAGGACCTATAGGGTCTGGCTAGACCAAAGGAAGAAGCAACGAAGCTGCGGTGGCCTTTGGTGGGTGCAGATGGGAGTTGTAGGATGACAATGGGTTGTCTAGGGTGGTAGTAGTCGGTATTTCTGTCTGCTTTTTTTTTTCTTGTTTTAGACAGAAATCAATAGAGGGAAAAGATGGGTGTTTGGGTTTGTTGTTTTTACAAGGAAGGGAACATGAAATGGGGCTAGTGACCATTAAAACAAAAAGGGGAAGGGGGAGTTGTAGTGAAACAGGTGAGCAGAGGGCTATTTTTGCAGCCCCTTCGTTCTTCATCTTTTTTTGTTTAATTTTTAATGGTAATGGAAGCAAGAAATCAGTGGCTTTTGCTTGTGGAATCATGATGAGCAAGGATGACCAAGAGAGGGTTGTTGCTCTCTTGATTACTGGGAATTTACCCATCTCTAGTGGTGTTCTTTAGCAGGAAAACAAAGGAGAAGAACAGGGAAGGCTTTGGTTGCTTCATTTGACAGAAAAGAGAAGGAAGAACAATGGTGATGATCTTTTCATTGATTGTGTATGTTTTTTTATTGGGGTTTACTAGTTAAATAGATAAAAAAAAAAATCAATTCTCTTGATGATCTTATTGTATAGTTGTGAATTTTGATAGATATGGAGTACATTGTGATCTAAAGGAAAGAAAACATAAATGTGTGGTACAATTCTTGAGATTGACATGAAGAAGATAAAAGGAATCATGAATTCCAATTCTGTTGGAATGGAACCATTAATTCCAATTCTGTTGGAATCTAAACTACAATTTGGTTTTGTTTTCACAAAAGTTGATGCTTGAAGAACGCACCGCAAAATTGAAAGTGATTATAAGCAACATTATTCTTTTAAAATGTATTAGTGTCGTTAAATTTTAATGTTTTTTTCTCGTTTTGAAAGTTTTTTAGTTTTATTCTTTAACAATAAATGTAATTCATAACAATTGTTCAAGAATTTATTATTCTACAAGAAGTTTTTTAAAGTCATGATCAAGAAATAGGTTTAAGAATATCTTTATTATTTATGGTTCAAGAATATTTTTATTTTTGAATATACTCAAAAACACATTCTATCAGAATGTCCGAATTAAAAATTTATAATTCGTAAAATCGGATTTTTAAAATTAATAAAATTTATGATCCCTTAAAATATGCAATTTTCCTTTATTAAATCTATAATAATTGGCTAAAATACCCTTGTCATTAAATTAGATTATATTTTTCAATTATATTTAATTCAATAATATATATTAGAGTAAATTACACGAATGGTCCTTATGGTTTGGGGTAATTTGCGCGTTTGGTCCCTAACTTATTTTTTTAATCGGAAGGTCCCTACAGTTTGTGTTTGTTACACGTTTGGTCCCTATCTTACCTAAAAAGACTATTTTGCCCTTGATTTTTTAATTTATTTAAATAAACAGACCCTCAACCTCACCCCTCACCTTACCTTACATATCTTACCATTTTTCCCTATTTACATAATAGTTTTTTAGGTAAGAGAAGGACCAAGCACATAACAAAAACAAACAATAGGGACCAAACACGTAACAAAAACAAAATGTAGGGACCTTCCGAGTTAAAAAAAAGTTAGGCATCAAACGTACAATTTACTCTATATATTAATCACTTTCTTAAAACAAGTAAAATTGATTAGCCCATATTTATAATAACACAATAATTATTATGAATAGAATAACCTAAGCTTATATATATATATATATATATATATATATATATATATATATATATATATATATATATATATATATATATATATATATATATATATATATATATATATATATATATATATTAGCTCTTATCTAACATCGCCTCATTATTATTATTATCATTTATTTTTTTTATTTTTGGCGGTTGATGGATTTATAAAAAAGAGTTTGTGTGCTTGTGTGAGTAACCATACATGAACTTAATGTTCTTATATAAAAAAATAATTTCAAGTAACCAATGAATTAAATAACATAAGTTGAAATGTTTAAATTACATATCTATTAAATACATAAGTTGAAAATTCTGGAGTTTTAAATAAATATGGTTTAAAATATGTCATCTATCTAGAACCATATTCATTTGAATGACTTTCTTTATAAGAGATATATAACTAGATAGATAGATAAATATAGATATGTTTGAAAGTTGTTTTAAAAATAACTCGGTCAATACGCGTAGAAACAAGTTTAAAATTTCATTAGTGATGCTACAAGTTTTAACACAAGAAACGTAAAAGTAAATCAAATAGGGTTAAACATACAAGAACATACTTATTCTGTATATACTCACATACATATGGTAATCATCAAAACACCATAACTATAAGTCTATAACTAAAACCTCCATTATATCACCTCTAAAGTAGTAAAAAAATCTATTACCATAATCATATTCTTTATAAATCCCTATCACCTTTTAATTCATCTCACCCCCTCTCTATCTCTCAAACTAATTTCGGAGCCCGTAATCAACAATCTCCAACCATCATTACTATGGTAGAATACAACGGTGGTCGAGAGTACACAACCAATGGATGGTGGTGGTAGATGATAACCGATGGTTGTGTTTAACTTTAACATGCTTCAAAGAACTACAAACATTTCTTCATGCTCTTTATTATGATATGCACATATATGTTTAGTTTTACATTTATAAAATCTTAGATACAAATAATAAAATTTTAAATTTCAATTTAAGAAAATTTTAATCAAAAATCCATATGGATGCATTGTTACTGTTAGCGTCATTTAGATGTCATTTGTTTTTTCGAAACAAAAATGACTGAAGTATGTTGATCACCTCGGCAATCCTCTGTAGCAGATGAGGGGGACGAAACGGATGCAACATGTAATAAAAAATTTGTTTCTTTTTTAACCTCTGCAGATTGCTACAATAAGTTAAAATAAGGTGTGAACGAAGTTTGAGGCACATGGTCAAGTGCTGCTCCACGCAACACGCGTGTAACAATTTTTAAGTCAGAAGTCTTCTGAAAAACAAATAGCTGCAAAGAGCCAATTGTTACGCGTGTGCTACGCGGCGCAACAATAAAGGGTTACAAGTGGATTTTTAGAAAAAATAAACAACTTAGGCATGTTATGGTCACTAAAATGACACGTGGCATGCCACATAAATGTTGTAACGAACTAACCGCTTCAAAACTCGTAAAATGGTTTTAATGACGTAAAATTTGAATGTTTAAGCCGTGAAATACAAAAAAATAGTTAAAAAACAAATAACTTGATGAACAAATGAGATCAAAACAAACACAATCACATTACCTTTTATTTATAATACTAAAAAAACATATAAGAAAAGAGTTGACACATCAATGTGTCTATTTGATACCTCCACAGACAACTTCAAGAATCATGTTTATTATTGCTATATTTTGAGCTTAATTAAAATATTACAAATTCCTACATATTAAATAAATCAAAACACGTTACATATTTCTTTGCGTATATAAACTGTGTTTTATGGCTATACTATCATAAATTGAACAAATAAGCAGATTAACAAGTTAGATATGTATAACAACAAATTATTTCGTAAACTGCCCAAATTAAAAAATGACACAAGTAAAGCTAACCTTGTATTGGTTATGCAATTCATTTGAGTGATCATTGTACATAGTGGATATAGGGTTTATGTGAAACCTATTGTTTTGTTGAGTAACCAAAGTGTTAGAGTCATTTCAAGCGCGAATATTGTGTGTAGATATGATCTGTCTAACATGAAACCGAATACTGTAATCCCCGCTTTGTTGTTCTCAAAGTATGTCACTGCAACATGTACAATCCAATCATATTAATCAAATAGGATATGAAAGCAACCATAATTAAGAGTCTTATAAAAATTTAGGGATTAAGATTATATTGTTACACTAGACAAGAATGTACAAGCTTTTTAAGGTTGTTTTCAACCGTCTTGGATTATTTAATTTAAATAGACTTGTTTTACAATAGGCTAGTAATTAGTTTGACAATAAGTTAACCTCCTAGAAAATATATTAGTTTTTTACAGTATATAACTTATTATTACAAACTAAAAGCATGACTTAATATTCTAAGAAGTCATGGTAAGTTATGTAAAAAGTTAATAATATTTTCGTAGAAATTTTTAAATATTTATTTTCACTTAATTACAAAATGATTGAATAAACATGTGATATAACAAGTTATTTAGATATAGTTTTATATATGTTTTTAATCAGTTTATGACTAAAACTAGTTTCAGTTTAGAATTATTTCGGTCTGATTTTACACGACTGTTGAAGGATTAGCCAGTCATTCTAAGATTAGAAACAGTTATAATTATTCCATTCTTTTTATCGACCAGTTTAAGCTTTAAACTATTTAGCTTAGTCATGCGTATCAAATAACGGAACTCACCTAAGGCTTGTCTCTTCTGGAACGAGACTGTATGCCGATAGACTGGAACTAACTTTGTATTGTCCAATTCGTCTTCATCTCCTTCTTCACTATCCGAATGTGACTGAGGGTTAAAATTGTAATTCTGTCTCTCGGAAGTAATGTTAGTAGATGGAGTCTCGTCAATAGGATCAATGTCATCAAATGAGTCCACGGTGGCGCATGTGTGCCATTTGGCTGCCAAGCTTGTCACAGATTGAGCTTTGTGTGTGATCTTTGCCGCATAGCGCAAGCATATGAGTAACCCACTCACAAGTGTAGCCGAGCACAACTACAATCATTACAACATGTCAATATAATTGTGTTGTGGAATAATTTGATGGTTTTGGTTTTGGTTCAATATATCAAAAAATAGCAATTAATACGGGTGAAAGAGAATAAAATTCGTTCACAACCTCTTATTATGATAGTATAACTTTCTAATCAAAATTAATTAATAGATTTTTTATAAATTTCAAAAGGGACAAAAAAAAAAAGGTTAGTGAGTGAAGGATTACCGCGAGTTCTCCAGCAGTAGAAATATTGACGAGTGAGCCTGTCCGAGTCAACACAAGCAAGGAAGCAAACTGGCTAGCTGTAACAAGTATGAGAGTCGATAACACAAATCCACGAAATCTGTGGCTTATGATACGAAGAGTTCTTCTGATTGCAAGATGTTCAATCAATATCAAACCTACATCTCCTTGTCTTTCAAACACTTTAGCAAAATCGTCAAGTCTGAATATTTGCAGAGAACAAGTGAGCTTGAAGAGCATGCAGACAAGAAAGAACAGTGATGTACGGTATAACCAAGACCCCAAAAGCAGGACACAGGCTATGGTGTGGCTTAAGTAGATGTTGGAGATGAAAGGTATTTGATGTGCTCCAGAAATAAACCACCATATCTTGTATATAGCGTCAGCTAGGAAACAAGGAACCACGAATGCACAGTAAAATTTCATTGCTTTCTGCATAAATGAACACTCAT